AAGTAGCTATGATTACAGGAATAGCTACCAAGTGTCCAGCTCCATTTAATTTTTTTTTTTTTTAAGGTCTGAAACCAAGACCTGTACTCAGTACCTGCCACTTTCACTCCTTGGCTAGCATTCTACCAACTGAGCCACACCTCCAACCCCTAAGCTGCTTGTGGTTTTTTAAAATGGATTTTTATTGGAAGAAAGGAAAGACAAAAATCAAAAAATTCTTCTCCAAAAAAATTTACTATTACCTAAATCATTTCATCTTCCTCTCACAAAAGGCAATGGCTCTGTACCTAAGGGGAAAGAAATTTATTATAAAGTCAAAGAGCTGGAGGACTACTAAAGTTTACTATGAGGGAACAGAATACTAACTAAACAGGCCTGTATCAGTTCCAAGTAGTAGTATGTTGTATATAACTGTAACATGTTAAGATAAACCAAATATTTTGCTACATATCTTTACTTCTTCAATTCTGCTCACTTTGGAAACAGCCAAACACTACAAATCAAGAACCATTGATTGTTGGAACCATTGTTCCAACTTCCTTAAATACATTCTAAGAAAACTATCAAAAGAGAGGAAGCTTGTAGAAGTGAACATTAGCTATGATTCACTACACAGCGGGGGAGAGGGGGATGACACCCAACCACCAGAGAAAATTTCTGGGTTTTTCCTCCTTGTGGTGCTAACCCAGAAGCTGCATCTAGCATGGGAAGCAAATGCCTTACAAGTGAGCTAGTCCCCAGCCTCATCTATGTTTACTACTATCCTGATTCATGCCAGGGATTTAAGATAGCATTCAGGAATAGTATGAATGCTTGAGATTTGGGGCTAGAAAAAAAGAATAATTTAAATGGGTTAACTAGATAAGGTCCAAGCTAGTTGTGACAGAAGTTTGTCCTAAGTTTCTGGGAATCCAAGGTGGAACAATAAAATGGCCATTAAAATAATTCCTTTTTTTTCTTTGGTTGTGGGGCTTCAACTCAGGGCCTTGGCACTGTCCCTGAGCTTTTTCACTCAAGACTAGAACTTTACTGTTTTGAGCCACAACTCCACTTAAAATAACTCTTATTAGATGGGCTGAGAAGGTGGCTCAGTGGTAGAGTGCTTGCCTTGCATGCATGAGGCCCTCGGTTTGATTCCTCAGCACCACATAAGCAGAAAAAGCCGGGAAGTGGTGCTGCTGTGGCTCAAGTAGTACAACACCAACCTTGAGCTGAAGAGTTGAGGGACAGTTCTCAGGCCCAGAGTTCAGGCCCCAAATCAACAACAACAACCAAAAACACTTATTAGAGAAAAGAAGAGAGCATATTTTTCAGAAAACAAGAGAATTGCCAATAAATGGCATAGTTTCTGGATATCTGATGTATGCTAACATTAAAAAAATAAATACTAAGTTGAGTGTAGTGGCACAAGCCTATACTCGCAGCACTCTCAGGTTCAGGAAGGAAGATCGAGAGTTTGAGGCCAGTTTGGTCTACATCAAAAAAAAAAAAAAAACAACAAAGAAATAATAAAGATCCTACAAGGCAAATAGGATAAATTTAAATTACTACTCTAATTGCAATAATGTAAAAGCATGATACTTACAAAAAAAGATTATATAACCTTCTACCTTTTCCAACTCCATAAAGTTATGATTATTATCACAAAGATTATCATATTCCCCTACACCACAATCACATTGCAATCATTGTAGAATGCTAGGCATACTAGAGCAGTTTATATTTTAACTATATTATGTATGATGTTGATATTTACTTGACTCATTTAAGATAGTATTTGGCTTATGAGATATATAAACAGTCAACATACCAACAGAAATAATAACTATAAACTTTTCTGATAAAGACTCCATTACTGCACCTCACTATAGATGACAAAATCCATAAGCTAAACGGAGCAAACAAGACTTTTTTCAACTTGTAACTTCTTCATTGCATACCATATGTTTTAGACTCCTCTTTAATGATCACAAGATGTTATTTACCAAGACTATTCCTGGTACTCCCAGGTAAGAATAATATATAGAATTCCTTTTAAAATGCTTTATTCATGCTGGAAAAAAATTAAACATAACCACAAAATTCTAACAAAATTTTTATAGTCAATTTCTCAAAGTTGAATCATAACTGATGTTTCCACACTATCAAAAACTATAAAGTGTATCCTTTAGTTTCTGTTTATTTTTTCTTCCTTCTCAAATAGCAAATAACTCTAACCAACATTTCCATTTTTAATTCAGAAAATACTACTCACACCAAAACTTGAAGTTCCATTATGACTACTTTTAAAAAGGGCATATTCCCTAAAATACATCAATCAGAACTGACATGTTCAGTCTTTAAAAATATAGACTCTTAAGATGTATAGACAAAAATATGGAACTTGAAGTCAGGAATGGTAGTGGACACATATAATCCCAGCACTCAAGAGAAGACAGGAATATAAACAGTTCAAGGCCAACCTGGCCACATAGTCTATCTCGAAATTAATTTTTCCAAAAAAAACCACACATCTCACTTATTACATAAAAAGAACTAGAACTGGCTGTGCATGCCCATAATCCCAGCTCTCTGGGAGGTAAAAGCAGAAAGATCATAGTACATGGCCAACTCAGATGAAAGTGACCAAGACCCTATCTCAAAGACAAGCTAGGCGTAGTGACAAATGCCTATTGTACTAGTTGCTTGGGAGGAAGAAGCAAGAGGAAAATAGTTTAGGCCAGTCCAGGTAAAGTTTGCAAGAGACAGTTTGTGGGAAAAAATAAAAATAAAAATAAAAGGGGGAAGGGGGAGGCTGAGGAGGGATGTGAAGGGTAAACCAAAGGAGGAGGCTGCAATGCTTGGTAAGAAATGTACGCATTATCCTGCCCTTGTAATTGTAACCCCTCTGTACAGTATGTTCACAAATAAAATTAAATTAAATTAAAAAATAAAATAAAAGCAAAGGACTAGGAGTATAGTAGCTGAAGTGGTAGAAACTTTACTTAGCAAGTGAGAAGCTCTGAGTTCAATCACAGTACCACCAGTATAAAAAAAAAAATTCAGCCTAACATGTTTATTCAAATTTGCTTTCATCTTTTAAACACAGTCCTGGATTTCTATTAATATAGGGCACTTGGGGCTGGGAAGGTGGCTCAGTGGTAGAGTGCTTGCCTTGCAAGCATGAGGCCCTGGGTTCGATTCCTCAGCACCACATAAGCAGAAAAAAAAAGCCAGAAGTGGTGCTGTGGCTCAAGCGGCAGAGCACTAGCCTTGAGCTGAAGAGCTGAGGGACAGCGCCTAGGCCCAGAGTTCAGGTCCCATGACCAGACCAAAAAAAAAAAAATTGTATATATATATATATATATATATGATACGAATGATTATAACTTACTGTCATCTTTTTAAAAATAAGAGGCATTGATTCATATTATAGATTTGAGGGAAGGAAAAGGGGACTACAACAAGCAAACAAAAAAAACTGAAAAACTGAAAAATGTATAAAAGGAATTTCTTTCTAAATCAAAGGAAAATTTTCTAAAACTTTATTATTCTTCAGAAATCAAGAAAAAAATACTTTAAAATAATGAAAATTAGGTTAGTTCTAGCAACTGTGCTTTTAGTGTTGAATTCTAAAATACTATTTCCTCTCTGCTATAAAAGCACAAGCAAGGAAGTGGCGCTGTAGCTCAAGTGGTAGAGCGCTCGCCTTGAGCTGAAGAGCTGAGGGACAGCGCCCAGGCCCAGAGTTCAAGCCCCACGACCGAAAAAAAAAAAAAAAGCACAAGCAAATCAGGATTAGAGAGTTTATCTTCAATAGCCAAAATTTCTTGTTCTTTGAATTGAGAATTTGTGGATGTTAAATGTGCCAAAAGCTTGCAATTGTTGTAAGACTGTTTATGTAGATGAGTGGTACTCATAGTAATGTGACTCCAATAGGCACAATAGTCTAGCATAAGCTCTCAAGTCTTCAAATTTCTATAACAGAACCTATAATAGAATCATATAAGTTGATAAATTCAGGGTTAACCAAAAAGATACATTAAGTCTATGTATCGTGGAGCTTAAAAATACAAAGGCATGACATCTTGCTCATTTTGTTTCATTCACGCCCGTTTTTGCTACCAAACATCCAGTAGCTCTCTTCTATGGTATCTGGTTTATAACCATGTATGGTATCTGGTTAATAACCTTGAAATGCTTGAACTCCAGATTCCCAGTAATTTTTATTTGGCTCTCTTAGGCCCTTGTAGAGTTCAATAGAGTGCACTGACTTATCACATATATCACACATATTCCAAGCCTGGTGCTAAAAATTATCCAGCATGAATGGCGGTTCTTTAACAGTAGATGTAATGTGCCTTTAGGGTAAAGCAGGAAGAAGAGTAGGACACCTTTTGCTTCCTAGGATCTATAAAGTTTTTAATGGTGGGAGGGACAAGCAGAGATCTCTAACTACATCAGATGTAAATAGGGCACAAAGTTTCTTGCCATTTCCTTTTCTAATTTTGACTTAATTAGGTCATTTTCATTAGCCAAAAAAGAGAAATCATTCTAAAGGTTTGAAACAACTACTTTAGAAGTAGAGAATAACATGAAATTATAGTAAAAATGAATTAAATCTGAAAAGTGAAATTCTGTTCTTAGTAACCTTATTGTTCCATTAAAATAAACCAGTCATTTTTATACATGCTTAAAGCTTTTTTCTCATTTATTTTTAATTTAAATGCAATAACAGAACAATGGAATTGTATAAATGACCTACACACACACATCCCTATGTAATGAACATAGCATATTAACTATAATCAGGCTGAGAGCTAAATAAAGGAAGTGAGTCTTTTATCTTGTTTTAGCTACTTATGCATACATAGGTACATAACTATCATGAACACCGAGTCTCAGCTTTTGATTCTGGAATAATTTTAAGCATATATTTGAAACCCGTGTCAAATTTCAGGATCACACTACTGAAGCCCACTCTTCAATGTGTACTTAGGAGGAGAGGTGTTTTCACTTACTCTGGTCAGCATAGTTTTTTGCTTTGAGTTCAAGTTGTCTTGTTTGAGATTCTAGAGATTCTACTCGGGTCTGTAAATCCTTTTTTTCCTGTTCTTGAGAGTCTTCAAATTCAATAAATTTCTAAAGAAAAAAAAAACAATATACATTTTCACCAGAAAAATAAAATCTTTCTTCTATTTTTCAACTCCTATGTTTCTCAGTATCGAGAATAACAATAGAGCCAGGCGCCAGTGGCTCACGCCTGTAATCCTAGCTACTTAGGAGGCTGAGATCTAAGGACCACAGCTCCAAGCCAGCTGGGATAAGGAAAGTCCATGAGACTCTTATTTCCAATAAACCACTCAGAAAACCAGAAGTGGTGCTGTGGTTCAAGTGGTAGCACGCTAGCCTTGGGCTGAAGAGCTGAGGGATAGCACCCAGGCCCAGAGTTCAAGCCCCACAACCGACCAAAAAAAAAAAAGAAGAAGAAGAAGAAGAACGATAGGTATTAATTACTTAAAGAGATTGTAGAGGTCTGGGAAGATGCATGAGGCCCTGGGTTTGATTCCTCAGCACCACATAAGCAGAAAAAGCCAGAAGTGGCGCTCTAGCTCAAATGGTAGAGCACTAGCCTTGAGCTGAAGAGCTCAGGGACAGCGCCCAGATGCAGAGTTCAGGCCCCATGACCAAAAAAATAAAAGACGTAGAATGGTGAACTTGGGTTGATTTTAAATTTCTCCATAAAAATTGTGTGGTTTTTTTTGTTGTTTATTTTTTTTGGGTCCGGTCATGGGACCTGAACTCTGGGCCTGGGCGCTATCCCTCAGTTCTTCAGCTCAAGGCTAGCGCTCTACCACTTGAGCCACAGCGCCACTTCCAGCTTTTTTCTTTTTGCTTATGTGGTGCTGAGGAATCAAACCCAGGGCCTCATGCATGCAAGGCAAGCACTCTACCACTGAGCCACCTTCTCAGCCCCTCCATAAAAATTGTTTAGTCAGGATCTGGGAATGTGGTTTAGTGATAGAGTGCTTGCCTAACATACATGAAGACCTGGATTCAATTCCTCAGCACCACATAAACACAAAAAGCCAGAAGTAGCACTATGGCTCAAGTGGTAGAGCACTGGCCTTGAGCAAAAGAAGCCCAGGGACAGTGCCCAGGTCCAGAGTTTAAACCCCAGAACTGGCAAAAAAAAAAAAAATTAGTCAAAAGTTGGGTGCTGGTGGCTCACACCTGTAATCCTAGCTACTCCAGAGGCTGAGATCTGAGGATTGCAGATCAAAGCCAGCATAGACAGGAAAATCTGTGAGACTCTTACCTTCAATTAATATTCAAAAAAGTCAGAAGTGTCACTGGGGTTCAAGTGGTAGAGCACTAGCCTTGAGCAAAAGCTGCTCAGGGACAGTATCCAGGCTCAGAGTTCAAGCCCCAGGACTGGCCAATAAAAATAAGAATTGTTTAGTCAGGGGGCTGGGAAGGTGGCTCAGTTGTAGAGTGCTTGCCTTGCATGCATGAGGCCCTGGGTTCAATTCCTCAGCACCACATAAGCAGAAAAAGCTGGAAGTGGTTCTGTGGCTCAAGTGGTAGAGCACTAGCCTTGAGCTAAAGAGCTGAGGGACAGTGCCCAGAGTTCAGATCCCATGACCAGCAAAAAAAAAAAAATTGTTTAGTCAGACACAAGTGGATCAATCCTGTAACCTATCTAAATGGGAGACTGAGATTGGGAAGATCAAAGTGTAAAGACAGTACAGGCAGAAATGTTAGTAAGAGTTCATAACTCTTCATAACTAAGAGTTAGATCCAGTATTACATTGCATCCCTGTTATTCTATGAAAGGAAGCCAAAATTAGGCAGATCATGGACTAGGCACAAGCCCAGACAGAAAGTGAGAACCTATTTCAAAAGCAACCACCACTACCAAAAAAAAAAAAAGCTAGAGGCATGACTCAATAAGAGTACTCAGAAAATACAAGGCCCTGAGTTCAAACCCCAGTACCTCAAGAAATGTTTTAAAACTTCTAATTTAGAAGTAAAAATAAGAAACAAAGAGAGGGCTGGGAAGGTGGCTTAGTGGTAGAGCGCTTGCCTTGCATGCCTGAGGCCCTGGGTTCGATTCCTCAGCACCACATAAGCAAAAAGAAAACAAAGCCGGAAGTGGCGCTGTGGCTCAAGCGGCAGAGCGCTAGCCTTGAGCTGAAGAGCTGAGGGACAGTGCCCAGGCCCAGAGTTCAGGCCCCACAACCGGACCCAAAAGATACAAAGAGAAAGAGAAAGCAATAGAGAGGGCTACACTGATAAAATATAGTATGTGCACATCTAAAATACCATGCTGAAACTTCTTATGTATACACACACACACACACACACACACACACACACACACACACTGAAAAAATGACAAGAAAAGCCGGGCGCTGGTGGCTCACACCTGTAATCCTACCTACTCAGGAAGTTGAGATCTGAGGATCATGGTTCAAAGCCAGCCCAGTCAGGAAAGTCCCTGAGACTCTTATCTCCAATAAACCACCAGAAAACTGGAAGTGGTGCTGTGGCTCAAGTGGTACAATGTTCGCCTTTAGCTGAAGAGACAGCACCCAGGTCCAGAGTTCAAGCCCCATGAACAACCAAAAAAAAAAAGACAAGAAAATAAAAGAGGCTGTTGTAGAGAAAGGAAGGCAAATGGAGAGAGTGAATGAGGATGTATATGGTCAAAGTAGTTTACTTCCATATATGAAAACAAAACAATGAAACCTGTTTTAGAAAGGGAGAGGAGAATAGGGACATTGATAAAGTATGTAAAATTTTATAACAAAAAGGTATTTTGAGTCGGGTGCTGTTGGCTCACACCTATAATCCTAGCTACTCAGGAGTCTGAGACCTGAGGATTATGATTCTAAGCCATCCTGGGCAGGAAAGCCTATGAGACCTTATTTCTACTAAACTACCAAAAAAAGCCTGCAGTGGAGCTGTGGCTCAAGAAGTAGAGCACTAGCCTTTAGCAAATAAAGCTCAGGGATCACATCCAGGCCCTGACTGCAAGCCCCAGGACTGGCACCCCCCCACAAAAAAAAGGCATTTTGTTTTGAAAAATAAATAGTATAATCTAAGCTAGCTAGGCCAATTTTTTTAAAAAATTAGTAAGGTGTTTCTTATGGAATGGATATCCTAAAGAAAAATATACATCCTACTATAAATACATAAATCCTAATACTCATCTTCAGTTTATAATAATTTTTAATCTGAAGTGTGTACATTAGGGGACAAAAAATAAAGGAATAACCATAAATGTTTCTTTTTTTTATTTTTTATTTTTTTGGGTCCGGTCGTGGGGCCTGAACTCTGGGCCTGGGCGCTGTCCCTCAGCTCTTCAGCTCAAGGCTAGCACTCTACCACTTG